AATCAACTTGTATTTAATATAATTATTTGTTTGGATTTAACTCTATCATTTTGCATTTTGTTTTTTTTCTCTTTGTCTAAGTTCTTTCTCATTTATTTATTCCTTCTTTCTTGCCTTCTTTTGGATTAATCAAGCATGTTTTATCATTCCATATTTATCTCCATGATTTTAGTGATACATTCTTGTATAAGTCTTTAATTAGTTACCCTATGCCAATATGTATCCTGGACTTATTAAAGTCAACTTTAAATGTGTATTCTAAGCATTTCCCCAATAATGCAAAATTCCTAACGAAGTTTGGATCCCTTTAACCCCCACTTTTATCCTTTGTGCTATTACTGTCATAATATATACAGTATATATGTATATTTCTTGTTAAAAGAGTCAATAGTCTTTTTATCTACATACATATTTACCCTTTCATATGCTCTTTATTCCTTCCTGAAGTTCCATCCTCCCATCTGGGATTACTTTTCTTCAGTCTGAAGAATTTCCTTTTTACTTTTTGTAGTTTAGATCTGCTGGTAACAAATTCTCTCAGCTTTGATATGTCTGAAAATGTTATTTTATCTTCAATTTTGGAGAATATTCTTACTGGGTATAGAACTCTAGATTAACTAAAAAATATAAACAACCAACCTCAGTGAAAATATCCCTGTTCCTTAGATATGGGCCTTCCTAGGTTCTTTTTTTTTTTTTTTTAATCAATCTTTATTGTTCATATTATTACAAAGGTTCCTCATTTCTTCCCCCCTCCACCAGGTTCCCACCCCACCCTCCGACCCCTCCCCATCCCCCATTGTCCTCATCCATAGGTGCAGTTTATGTTCAGTCTCTTCTTCCCTCCCTTTCCCCAATAGTAAATCCCTTTTCAGATAGTAAATCAGTTGCTTAGCATTTTCTCAAATCAATAATACCTCCACATGCCCAATGATACACTTCACACAAAAGACATTTCCCAATAGGTCCACCAGCCTCATCCAGGCCCCACCCAAGGCACTCACAGATCAACACCCCAGCCCTATACTAACTCAACACATCCAGATCTAAGCCTTCATCACTTGATTCAGCAGAACCCTCAAGTTCCCACGAAAGTTTCCAGCCATGTCTGAGAAGCAGCCGTGGGGCAGGGGCAGGCGAGGAGCGAGCTGTTCCGGGCCTGGCTGCTCAGGGCCTGGCCTCTGTTGCTCTGGTTCGTTCCACAACCAGCTGCTCCGGGTCTGGTCACTGCCGCTCCCGATCTAGTTGCTCTGGACTTGGCTGCTGCTGCTCCAGGCCTGGCCGCTCCCAGCCTGGCAGCTGCTGCTCCGGGCCTGGCTGCACCCGACCCGGCTGCTCCGGGCCTGGCCGCTCCCAGCCTGGCAGCCGCTGCTCCGGGCCTGGCCGCACCCGACCCGGCTGCCCCTGGCCCAGCCGCTCCGAGCCTGGGCACTCCCAGCCTGGATGCTCTGGGCTTGGCTACTGCTGTTCTGGGTCTGGCTGCTCCCACCCCGGCTGCTCTGGGCCTGGCTTCTCCGGGCCCGGCCACTCCGGGTCTGGTTGTTCCTGGACTGGCCACCCTGGACTTGGCCACCTCCGCCTCAGGCCTGGCTGCCACTGCCCCAGGTCTGGCTGCTCCAATGCTGGCTGTTGATGTTCTGGTTCTGGCTGCTCCTGCTCTGGGGCCTGGCTGTTGCTCCTCCGGACCTGGCTGCCACTGCCTTGTGCCAGGCCACCCTAGGCCTGGCCGCCGCTGTTCCAACATTCTGTCCTTTTTTTTTTTTTTCTTTTTTTAAAAAACGCATTTATGTTGCAATGTTGGTTGTTGAGTTGAGTTCTGACTTAGTCTTTGATTTTTCAAGAACTTCTTTGTATTCTTTCTTAAGTAATTTTACTATCTTTTGCTCTCACTTGATTTCTTCACATTGAGAACTTCTTTGGTTTCTTCCTCCTTGTCCTGGGAGCTCAGCTAGTTGGCCTGTGGCACCACTTTGTTCTCCGCGGACTCCTGCGCTGCTTTAGCCTATTGCTGGGGACGGCGCCGTCCAGGAAACAGCCCCACTGGCCTTGGCTCCATTGCCCGCGCTCAGTGGTGGAAGGCTCAGGGGCACCCCCCCCCCAAGGGCCCCGTCGCCAGGCTCCTTGCTGGTGCCCGGTTGGCCGGCGTCCGGCAGGGGTTCCTGCTCCCCGCCGCGTTCCCCCAGCCTGGAGCTCTTTTTCTCCTTCCCGCTAGGGGAGTCCAGCATCAGAGTCAACAGACTGTCCTCTGCGTGCAGTGTGCGCAAGTCCGGGGGCGCGACCTTTCGGTGCTCTCCCCGGACTCCACCTCACAGCCCTGTCTCCCTCTGCCTGAGTCTGGGTCCCCAGGGATTGGCCCAGAACTGGGGTTCGGAGCAGTCCGGACTGAGGCCCAGCGCCGCCGGAGGCCTTGTTTCTTCCGGCTAGGGCAACCCAGCATCAGAGTCAACATTCAGTCCTCTGCGCGCTCATTGCGCGCGACTCCGGGGCGCCCTGCTTTTCGCAGCTTTTCCGCCTCACAGCCCCGTCTCCTCCTGCTGGAGCCTGGGTCCCCAGGGTCTGGCCCATAACTGGGGCTCAGCGCTGCCGGTTCGGGGGTCCAGCCCAGGCTGGGGGTTTTATTTCCTTCCTGCTAGGAAGGGAAAGGCAGCACCCCTTCCTCTCCTCCTCTCCGGCTGCGGCCTTTCCGCGCGTGCGCCGGCGGGCGGGTGTGCAGCATGTCTCCGTACCTTAGGCTTTTTTTTTCAGCTCCTTGATTTTCTTTCTGGTTTTCTCTTTCCTTCTTGTAGAAATTTCAGTCAGTCGACTACCTGTAGCTCTGGGCAATGTCCACTCTACATCTTAGTTGTATTCCATTGAAATTGTTGTGTGCTGCCGCGGCTAGATGTCTACCCGAGCAGCCATCTTGGATCTCTCTCATCGATCCTTCCTAGGTTCTTGATTGAGAACTTAATAGATCTCCATCTCCTTATCCCTGAAAAACTATAAGAATACCCTTGAGAAATTTAGAGCTTAGTTCTTTGACCTCTCACTTTTCTTAAAATTTTAAAATCTTGAAGAGAAAATCAGCTATGTTTTTGAGATAGAGCTCCTCCTTCTAGTAGGACCTTGTTTCCTAAAACCTCAAGGTTATGGGAGATTTTTCTCATCCTTGCTTCATGTCTCTAGTATACAGACTCAGAACTCAGCAAATGTGCCATGGGGAAAATTGGCCGCACACATGGAGCTCCTCAAGTTCCAATCTGTCACACCAACCTCTCTGACTTCTTTTTCCTCTAATCGAGCTCCTGACCCAAAATTCATGCCCCAAATTGGCAAATGCCCTCAGGAAAGAATACAGTGTCAGATACCTAAGAAGCCCTCCCCAACCAGGTCTGGAATTCTAGTTCATCTAATCTTCATGATTTCTACAGTTCTGCAGTGTTATTTACAATAATTTATCTGACTTTTACAAGTTGATGCATCAGCCATGCTGCATTGTCATAATCTATTACATTCTACCTAGAAACATTACCTTCTACTTATTCACTATAATGAGTTTTTTAACTAGTCTCTGTAGTTCTAATCCTGCCTCACCCCATCTCTGAGCAGCGTTCTTTTTTAAGTATATTCTGTTACTCCTATGCTGAGAATCCTCCAGTTGCTCCCCTTCATACTTAGAATAAGTTCAGGTTCACTTTTGCCGTCTACAAAGTCTCACATAATCTTATCACTATTCCCTTTCTAACCTATTCCCCCTCTTCTCTCCCCTTTGCTCACTCAGTTCCAGTTATATACTGACCTTTCCAATTCTCAAACACGCTAGCAGGTTCCCATCTCAGAATCTTTGCACTTGTTATATGCTTTCTACTGTACAGCTCTTTCCTCAGATCTTCATAAGGCTTTGCCTTTATCTCATTTGGGAGCTCTACAAATGTCATCTCTTCAGTGAGGACTTTTCTCACCCTTCTCTCTCATTACCTTGCTTTAGTTTTGATCATAACACTTACCTAACAATATATTGTATATTTATTATTTTATTTTCTGTCTCCCCCACTAGAAGGTAAGTTCTGTAAGATGAAAACAATGTTTTGTGCATTGTTCTAACCCCAGGGTTAGAAAGCGCATAAACTATAGTAGGTGCTCAAGAAATATTTGTGGAAGAATTAGATATCTTAAAGAATTATCTATTTAAAAAGACGATGATTATAGCAAAATTGAAAGTAACATAGATGTCTACAAAATGCTTTGGGAGAGGGGGCACTAACTTATTTGGGATGCAGTCAAACAAGGCCTCATTTAAGGAGGTGAATGTTGGAAACTGAAAATTGATGTATGTCTGACCAGAAAGAATAGAGAACTCAACATATGGCTTGGCATTCAAAAAAGAGTAGGTCTAGAACATGGGGACAGTTGACAGGAAGTGACATCAGACATAACTGGAGAGCAAGGCAGGGGAAAAGTCACAGAAGTCTTTGGATATAAGGATAAAGAATTTGGACTTTGCCTTAAAGGTAATATGGAGCAAAAATGTTTAAGGTTAAAAAGAGATGCTGTCAGATATATTTCTATATGTTTCACTACTCCTCACTATAATAATAACATTAAGAAGATTGATGTAGAAAATCCCTGACTTGGTTGAAGAGCCTACTTTCAAAACATAAGTCCTCATCCCAACTTACAATGTAACCTGGGGAAGGAATCATTTCCTCTCCTGAACCTCTAATCTTCATTCTTAGCAGGAAAAGATTGTGGGCATTCTGTCTCTGAGTCTATGGTTCTGTTTATATACCTTGGGGAGAAATTTTTAATATTTTTCTACTGCATATACCAGAAATAATTAAGCTTCAAATTCTAGCCAATCTAACTTCAGTTCTCTTCTGAGATTTTCTAATATTTAGGTAAGATGCCAGGAAACTAGGTTTTTGGGATAAAACTACCCAAATGGAAGTAAGAAGTCTTTTTTTTCCCCCCTCCTGCTGGGATGGGAGGAAGAGGTGATAGAATGAGTCTTTATCTTACAGTTGTGATTCCAAAGAGTCCCTATCCTGCATCTGATGTGAACACTGAGAAGCCCAGCATCCACAGCAGCACCAAAACTGACTTGGATCATCAGCCAGGGCAGAGGGGGCGTAAATCAGGAAAGAAGCGGGGCCGGACACCCAAGCCCCTAATTCCCCATCCCATCGCTACCCCATCCAAGGCAGCTGAACCATTGAAATTCCCAAAGAAGAGGGGTCCCAAACCTGGCAGTAAGGTAGGTAAAAATGTGGTTTTTCTAGAAAGGAATCTTACCTAATAATAGACAAACATGTAAATTGACTGTACCTCCTCTACGCCACCAGCCAATCAGGAATGATATGTAAATTAACCCAACAAATATGGCAAATAAATTTGTATACACAGGTGGGGTGGGCAGCGCCAAGCCCTAACTGCGGGGTCCCAATCCATTGGGGGCCCGGGAAGGCTCCAGCCACAGGGTACTGGTTCATCAGGGACCCAGGGAGGCAGGACGGACATCATGAGGCTTTTTAGGCTGCTGTAAAGCATGAGGAAAGGCCCACATTTCCTGCTGTTTCTAGCAACACAGTTGTCTATTTATTATGCCTGAATTCTTCTGCCTCTTTACAAGGACTCTAAATTCCCTTGGGTGTTGATTTTCAATGATAGCTGTTCATGGGAATTACTTGAGGCATGTGTGTGTGTGTGTGTGTGTGTGTGTGTGTGTGTGTGTGTGTGTGTGTGTGTGTGTAAAATATTCTAAACAACAAGTCTGCCCCTTCAGAAATTAGAGTTCCAATTTGTTCAATTTCCATAGATTCTGATTTTGCTGATTTGGAGAGTAAATGATCCAGCCAACAGTAAATTTTAAGTGTCCCTGAATGATTTTAACCTGTGGGTTAGAAGCCACTGCTTATGTTTATGCAAACACAAGAGCCAAATATCCAGGTAAAATATAGAAATCTCAATTGTACAGTTCAATAAATGTTTACCTATATCTAAACCCAGGTAGCCACCATCCAGAATGTTCTGTTGAATCTTTCTCCCTTAGCAATAAAAGCAGAACCAACTACTTACCTTGGAGAGAGGAAAAAGAAAACAAAGGAGAATGTGTGGGAATATGTAATAATACCGCAAAACAGTACCTCCTGATAATTTTATTTATCAGATTATAGGCTCTTACTCATCTCTGTTGTACTTGCCATCAATCAGACTTACCTGAGGGGTCCCAGATTGGAGAGGGTGCAGGCCAGGCTGAGGGATCCCCTCTACCCCCCATGCACAAATTTTGTGCACCAGGCCACTAGTAAAGGAATATAAAGGGATAATTTATCCATATCCATAATTCCTGGAAAGGGGTATGTCTGGTCCTATTTCTTCACCTTGTGTATACACAAGGAATTTACTAAGAGGAATTTTAAGAGGAATTTACTAAGTTGTAATCCCTATTTAGCTATTTACCTGAGAGTAGGTTATATTAGATATAGGATAGTATGGATAACAAACAAATTTTGACTTTGAAAGTTACTCATATTCAAGGGAATTCTGGTCTATCTTCCAGAGATGGAAGCCCTGCTCCTGATTGTTAACCTACCCAAAGTGGATGCCCAAGCTTGTAAATAAAAAGAGGATATTGACTTTGTAAATGTATTTTTTCTATCCCTGCTCCTTCTTTTAAAAAAATTTATTGAATTCCTATTACGTATCAAGATCTATATCAGGCTCTATACGATTACATATCACATATTCTTCACAAAAGTCTAGGAGATGAGTAGTGTTAATGTTATTTAAAAGTTAAGTAAATTGATGCTTAAAGATAATAACTTCTCTATCATCACATAGCTAATAAACAGATGGGTCTCAAGATCTTCTAGTTTCAAAGTCACTGCTGCCTTACCACATATTCACTCTCGCATTTCTTGAAGGAGATAACACTTACCTTTAGTATAGGAAAGGATTCCTGAGTCTGGCTTTACTGAGCACTGTTCACTATGCATGACCAGTTCTTCATGCAGATCTTCCCTAGGGAAACCACTGATATGAAAGTTCCTCAGCTTCTTCTCTAGGGCTTCCCTTGGCATCACCTTCTCGATTCCCTCCCTACCTTCAGGATTTCTCTGCAGCTTCCTCCTGAACTAGACTACCTGACTTCCACTCTGGAGATGAATCCCAGTCCTCCTGGGAACTCCATTCCAATCTCACAAGTTCTTCCCTAGGTTTTGTTTGTTAGTTGATTGGGTTTTTGTTTGTTCCATAGCTCCAGCTAACTTCAGTCCTAGAATGTAAGCTCCTTAAGGTTGAGAATCTAATCTTTTTCTTCTTTCTTTTTTCTGTAGTGCCTTATATATCTGTCTCTTGAGAGATGTTCAGTATATGCAGGATGGATGGATGGATGGATGGATGGATGGATGGATGGTTGGTTTGTTTGAGTGATGATTTTCCAATTGAGATTGTTTTTTACTTATTGGCTTTGAATTCTTGATGTCACATCCTGATCTTTGTATATAACAACTAATGCTCCTGACCTACTACCACTAACCCCTACCCCAGGCCCTGATTCATTTTTGTCTCCATAACTCTCTTCTCATTCTCATGTTTGAAGGAAAGGCTGAAGACCCTAGGATTACAAGGCTAGAGAAGCTGTGCTTTTGATTATGTGAAGGCATTTTGAGCACAAATTAAAGAGGGAGAAAACTTGTCTGTAAGGTTCCAAAGACAGAATAAGAACCAAATAAGCAGAAGCTTAAGCAGACAGGTTTTGTCTCAGGATAAAGGAAATTTAACTAAAAGTCTATATTTAGTTAAATCTATTCCAAAATAGTAGTGATGCCTATCATTAGAGGAATTTCATCAGTGACTGGATTTCCATCTAATGATAAGAAAATAGAAATACTGGGATGGAAGGCTGATTAAATGACCTTTAAGATCCTTCAGAACCTAAGAACTATGACTATGATTGCCTCTGCTCTTTTTCCTCAGACAGTCCCAAATATAATAGCCAAAGTCCTCTTTCAACCCTCTTGAAAGCAGCAATTCTCATCATATCCTGTATTTTAATGGCCTGGCATCTGAATCCCTAATTCCCCTTCCTGTCCTTTTTACCTACTACTATAAGTGTATATCCTTTCCATTCAACCCATAACTTTTATATTCCTTTGTGAAGCAAGGTGATCTTGTGACTAAAAGCTTTGAAACCAGGCATACTTAGTTTTATATCTCATCTCCATTTGTTACCACATGTGTGACTTTGAGTAAGACTGTGAGCCCCATAAAATGGAGATGGGGTAATATACTATGAATAGATATAATGCATGTAATTGCACCTATCTCAAATAATAATAATGTCCTCCATTTTTCTGGTTCCTACAATATTTGGATACCTTATTTACTAGGATTGTTCCTTTGGGGACTCAGGAAATTCCACCACCAACTCAGTGAAGTTGAACCTTTCTATCCCAACTCATTGTTTATTTGGATTTATACTTTTCGCAATATCAAAACTATGAGGGGTTGTCCGTAGCCTATGTATGCTTTCATAAGTGTTTGTGTGATTCCTTTCACAGGCAAGGCCATCTTTTAGTATATTCTTGCTGTCATTGGTGCTCTTTAAATAATAACACTCCTAGAAGGCAAACAGGTTTATATAGCTCCCAGCAGTGTGACCTTACATGACATTTAGTAAAAGGGGTTTCTGAACCTCAATGATGAATATGTTTTCCTTGCCTTCAGAAAGGCTTTTAGAAAAATTTATCTTGTAAAGAACCTTCTAAGATCCTTCTCCCCCAAAGGCTGCCCTGACCAGCATAGGAGAGATGCTAGGAGTTTCTCAAATCATCATTATTACTTCCCCCATCATTGGTATTCTATACTGTATGCTTCATTGAAAAACAGTGTTGATACTTATATGCCAAGTATCATGCCAGGAATGGTACTCCAAATCAGACTCTCAGGGAGCTCCAGGCTAATCAGGTACAGCAGTACATAAGTATATAATGACAATACATGTGACAAGTGCAACTATGCAAAGGACAGAGATAGCACAAAAGAGACAATAACTAGAGAAAATCTAGATATTTATCAGATAAAAAAAGAAAGGAAATTTCAAACAGAAGGGATGGTTTATTAGTATAAAGATGTAGACCAGGTATGATTTTTAGAGAAATATTATAGTTAGAGATTATTAGAGTATAAGGCCAAAGATAATAAACGGCAGGTAATGAGCACAAGAGGTAGGCAGAGGATATAGTGTGTAGAGTTAGGAAAATGTACATTTCCATTTTTCAAGAAAAAGAAAGTACCAAATAATGTCAAAATAGACTCAAGCCATAATATTTTTTTTTTTTGCTTTTGTCTGCACAACTAATAAAAAATCAGGAACTTAAAATCATAATATTGAGTCTAGTATAAAAGAGAGTGAGTTAAGCTCTGGCTGTACAGAAACCGAGATTCTTGCGCATAGGTTCAGAAAATATTTACTAAGCGTGTTCAGCTTTGGACAAGATGCTGTGGTGTGTGTGGGGGGAAGGGGAGATAAAACACAGTCCCATCTACAAATATATTTTCATTTCATGGGTGAATTAAATACTAGAATAGAAGAGTAAGAAGACAAGTTACCTATCATGGGTAGCAAATTTCCCCCATCCATTTTGACAGAGAAAACCTCGGACTTTGCTGAATCCACCACCCATCTCACCAACAACCAGCACCCCTGAACCGGACACCAGCACTGTACCCCAAGATGCTGCAACCATCCCCAGCTCAGCCATGCAGGCCCCCACAGGTAAGAACAGATCATAGTACTAGCTGCAACAAGCCCCAGGTCCCTGTGTCTGTACTTTCTCATCTTGCACCAATATTAACTCCCTGTCCATTTATAAACCTAAATAAAATCTTTTTGTAAAAAAATTTATCTTTGGCATCTGAAATAGTTTCAGGGAAACCTCCATCCTGTCAAAAAACAATTAAAGAAACCTTATATCACTTTGTCAATAGCCACACCAAAAAAACCACAAACAAACAAAAAAACTATGAGAATGTCTCTTCCTGCTACCCAGATACATGCCTTTGACTGGGAATCGAACCTGAGACCCTTCTGTGCATGGGCCGACTCTCTAACCACTGAGCACACTGACCAGAGCTGTCCCACAGTTCTTAAATAGTCTATTCTGGGTTTTTGTGGGGGAGGGGGTAAGTTGCTTTTTTTTCTACTTGCTTTTCAGTTTTGGAAATTTCTATTAAGATATCCTCAATCTCAGCAATTTTTTCCTTAGCCATGTCCAGTCTACTAATGAGCCATCAAAGGTGTTCTCCATTTCTGTGACAATGTTTTTGATGTCTAGAATTTTTAAAAATTCTTCTTAGAGTTTTCATCTCTGTGTATACCTTGCCCATCTGTCTTGTATGCTGCATTATCCCCCCTGGTATAGTAACCATAATTGTTTTAAACTCTTAATCTAGTAATTCCAACATCCCTGCCATATCTGAATCTGATTCTGATACTTGCTCTGTGTCTTTGAATTGCATTTTTTGCCTTTTAGTATACCTTGTAATTTTTTTTTTTTTGAGAGCCAAATGTGATGTACTTCTTAAAAGGAATTTGTAAATAGGCTCTTAGTAATGTGACATTGAAATAAAAAGGGAGAAGTATTCTATAGTCCTACAAGTAGCTCTCAGTCTTTTGGTGAGTCTGTACCCCAGGACTAGGAATTTCACCAGTGCTTCTTAGTCTCCCTACCAGTGGGATAGTGTGGCTGGAGGGGGTTGGATTTGGGTATTGCTTCTCCCAGGTAGGTTAGGCTCTGAAAAAACCCCAGTAGGTTAAACTCTGGTGAAATAGTTTCTCCTGAGGGCAGACCTTGTTAAGGACAGAAAGCTCTGATGTAGTACACAATGTTTCCTTTACCACTCTCCTACTGGGAGCTGGAGGGGACTTTTCTCCCATATTCACTGTGAGAACCTGTTCAAGCTTCCAGAGGTAAAACTCATAAAAGTGAGGATCCCCTAACATGACTGGGCCCCCTAGAGTTTTTAACTATCAGATTTGTCCACACTGGGCTTCCAGCAATTTGTCACAGTTTAGATTTTCCTACCTTGGCTCTGGTTCTGTGGAGGTTTCTGCTCATACGTTTCTGATCTAGTAAATTATGATTCTCTATATCCACCTGTCTATCTTTCCAAATTTGGGGACAGCAGTTTGCCCTGCAACCTCATTTCTCTGATGGATCTAAAAAGAATTGTTGATTTTTACATTTGTTCAGTTTTTTACTTACTGTTAGTATGAAGTAGGTACTTCCAAGCTCCTTATATGCTGGACCCTTCTCTGAACTCTTTTTTTTTTTTTTACAACCTCCAATTCTTTTTAAACACACACACACACAAATATATATATATATATATATATAATCAATTTCAGAGAGGAAGAGAGAAACAGAAACATCAATGAGGAAGAGAATCATTGATTGGCTGTCTCCTACATTCCCCCTACCGGGGATGGAGCCCACAACCCAGGCATGTGCCCTTGATCAGAACCCGGGGCCCTTCCGTCCACAGGGTGATTGATGCTCTATCCACTGAGCCAAAACGGCTAGGGCTACAACCTCCAATTCTGATATCATGTATACAATAGAAAATTAAAATATGACAGTATACAAAAATATCTTTATGACCTTAATATTAAAAAGCATTTTTAAAACAAGACAGTGAGTATAAATTATAAAAAGAAATGGCTTATGTATATACCTGGAAAAGGTAATATCAATATTCAACTATTTTAAAATTAGGACAGCTCGTTGCTCTTCCGCTTCGCATTAGTTAGGGTGGCTCAACAGGGGTTGAAGGATATACTTTCAAGATGGTTTGTTCAATGGCTGGCAAAGTTGGTGCTGGATGTTAGTTTTTCACTACACAGACCGCTCCAAAGAGTAGTTTGGACTTCCTCATGCCGTGGTGGTTGGGTTGCAAGAGCCAGTGCCTTAAGAGACAGAAAGTAAAGACTACCATTTTTTTAATCTTTGAGCATCATTTCCACCATATTCTCTTGATCAAACAGAGCACAGATTCATGAGAAAGAAAATGGGCCCTACCTTTCAATGTGAGGAGAGTCAAAGATTTATTGACCATGCTGTCAAACCAACTTAGTCCATTCTCTGTACATAAATTATTTACATTTTCTTCCCTCTTGAAAAATTTGTTCTTCCCCTGCAACATTCCCCTGAAAAGTCTCATCAGTTTACAGCATCAGGCTCCAGATGTAGGATTTTGTCATCTAAATCAGATCCAGGTGCAAATCAGACCTCTCAGATGCAGTTCTTGGGTACTGCTCCTTGAGGGTAGTTATCCAATGACCTGTGAACCAAAGAAAGATGTTAACTAATATGGTAGTTAACAGAGAGGAAGAGAGAAAGATTGAAAAGGGTAAAGAGAGTCAAATATATGACGACAGAAGGAGACTTGACTTTGGGTGCTGAACACACAATGAAATGTGTAGATGATATATTATGGAATTGAACACTTGAAACATATAATCTTACTAATCAAGGTCACCCCAATAAGTTTAGTAAAATATTTTAAAATATAAAATAACAATGAGACACACTGCGGGAAGAAAAGAAGCATATTGTCTGCTCCCCACATATGCAGCATACAATGGTGGGACAGGCTGAGGTTACCTTATAGATACATCTGTTCAAAGAAAAAACCAAGAGCCTCATAGCAGTAACTGGTCTATAGAAATCTATCTGGGCACATGTTGGCAATTCATTAGTTAGATCCAATACTACTTTCTAGGACTTTTTATCATTACTCATGTTTCTGTCCTCTGCATCATCATTCCTTTTCCATGAGAAAACTAAGATTGCCGGTAAAAGATTGGGGGTCTAAAGGATTCATTTAGTGCCAGCTCTTATCCTTTTTTAATTCTAGCAGGCAAATCTTCCACCAGAATGTTTCTCTTATAAACTTGAGGGGTTTTCTATGTGCACTATTGGAATTTACTTCATTAGATAAAAGCTACAATCATAGATCTCTTGAAGATAAACCCTTCTCTAGTTTGGGCTACTGTGAAACAATGCCCTTAAGATTCTTAAAAGTCCTATTAAGGGAGAGAAGATTTGCCCTTGAGATTCTTATAGGGCCTTTTGGTCTGAAAGAGTCTCCGGAGCATAGATTTAAAATCATTCTGACATTGTAAAAAGATATTTCCTTCCCTATTCTGGATTTGACCCTTTCTCGATTTAGAGTTGTTTGTCTTATAGAGAGACTGTGAATGAGAAACAGTTTTTTTTGTGAACTCTGCAAGTCCTGGGCTTTTTTATGTTTTACATTAGACTGTTTGTATGTTTGTTTTAAGCTGATTCATCTCATTTTGTACTCTTATCACAGGGAGTAAAATCACCTTAGCTATTTCATTGAATTTATCAGGTACATTTCCTATTTCTATGTTACTTCAAGTGACAGTGCTGTGTAACTTTCCACCACTAACTAGTAAGTGTCCCCTGTCCTCCATCTTCCAATAAGATTTTTCTCACTTTCCTGTAAGTCTTCATTGACAGCCTTCTCAACACTCTCTTTGTGGCTTTTTATGCTGCCCAGTCCCAAAGTCAGTGTCATGTGTGCCAGGCTTTTGTTACTGAAGCACCCTATTTCTAATACTACATTCTGTCACAATAATCTTTTGCTACATAACAAACCACCACAAAACTTGATGGCTGAAAACACAAGGTGGGCAGGGCTGAGTGGCAGCAGCTTGTCTCTGTTCCATCCAGTGTCAGCTGTGGCAGGCTGACCAGGGCTGGAGGATCGCTTCCACCACATGCTGACAAGTTGGTTTTGCCTGTTGGTTTCTCTCCCCATGGACCTCACCTGGGGTGGCCTTGCCTCCTCACACATGGTAGTTGGGTTCTAGAAGTAAATGTCCCAAGAAACAGGAAGTGGAAACTGCTAGTTTTTTCAGTCCTAAACTCAGAAACTGGCAGTGTCATTTCCATTATAATCTATTGGTCAAATATCACAGAGATTGGTATAAGGAATGTCAAAGAATTTTGGGGCCATGTTTTAAAACTGACACATTATTCTAAGGGTTTCATTGTTTGTCTTTTTTATTTCACCCTTTTAATCCATGTAGAATTTCTTTCTTTTTTTTTTTTTTAGAATTTCTTCTTTTAATTATTACTGTAATACAGTGAAATATACAAACCTTAAGTGTACAGTTTGATGAATTATAATCAGTGTAAGCTCCCATGAACTATCCCAATTGAGTTAAAAGTCATTTCTGCCCATTCTCCACTCCCCAGAAGTCACCTCATGCCTCCTTACAGTCTTCACTCTCATCTTTATTTTTATTTCTATCACTGTAGATTAGATTTTTCTGTTCTGGAACTTAATATAAATTGATATACTAAATATAGAATACTCTTTCCCATCTGGTTTGTTTCTCTCAAAATAATGTTTGTGAGAAACTATCAATATTTTTTTATAGCCATGTGGTATTTCAATAAGTGAATATACAACAATTTTTTTATCTACTCTCTTGTTTATGGACATTTGGGTTTAAAACTAGTATGGCTAAATTGCTATGAATATTCTTACAATGTTTCATTTATTTTCATTACTCTTCTTATCACTGAGTTCTTTCATTTTTATTTATTTTGTTTTCAGCAAAAGAGTCACGTTTTGACATGGTAGTCCCATTTCTTAACAGACTTCAGTCCTTCAATTATTAGATCTACCTCCATACCCACCTCCAGAGGCACTGGCCCATTCTTGGGCCTTTTGTGAATTATCAGATAAACAGCTTGGTTCTCATCGTTGCCCACTCTTGGTTAAGGCTTTAGCTTTCTTAGGTCTGCTGAGTCATTACTACTTTGCCAGTCTGCTTTCCAGCTCCTGAAATTGTATGTTGTCTTCTTTCTGGTATCTGGCTCATTTTAGTGGGTTTTATGAGAAAACAAAATTAAATTTTATTTCAATTCATCTTATTTCTCTTTTTTTTCCTTTCTTTATTTTCACCTCTCACCTTCCATATCATTCCTTCTCCTTTCTATTTTCAATTTTCTTCTCTCCATCTTGCTTCCCCTTAGAATGATAAAAGTGTCCCAGGAGAGCATCCAGCTCAGCCCCCTCATTTTACTGATGGTAAGCATGAGGCCCAAAAGGGCAGCGTTTTCATTCACAGCCCACACAGCTACTGCTCTTATCCTGTTTGTCTTCAATAAAAGTAAAAAAGAGGCGTTTTGTCCTCCAGCTCCTTCAGTTAATGAGCCATGACAGTGTGAGAAAGGAGAGTATCCCCTACTGAAATGGAAGCCTGGAAGGCAAATCAGCAGGGAGAGTGTCACAGCTGAGCAGGCTTCCGTGAGCCCTTCAGGAGACCAAGGAAACAATTCTGTTTAGGACTGCCTCTTTAGCGTGCCCTTCCCCACCACGGTGCCAGGTGGAAGGTTGCAGTTAGGGGAGTGCCCAGCTATTAAGACAAGCGAAACTACTGAAACAAATATCTGGATGGGACCCTCGAGCCCTTTTCCCCTTTTCATATTTTTCTTTATTCTTTTTTTAAAATCCTTTTACTACTTTCTTGGACCTGAGTGTTGATATAGAAGATAAAAAGGGGACTCCCAAGGCCCAGAACCGACTAACACTCTTACTCTCCTTCTCTCTCTCTCTTTCTCTCTCTCTCTCTCTCTTAAATTTCCATAATCCCACAATCTCTTAAACATATAAGGTAAGATCCACAAAGACTATGTGAGCAACCAAGCACCAAAAATGAAAGTACACATATCTGGGAAACAGTTTAAATTTTTTTTCAGTGCACAAAAAGCCAAGTGCAAGTTCCATGCCTTGGCTTTTGCTCGGGCTGTTCTTCCAGCAGGCTGTGTTCCCAGAGCCTTTGGTCATGCAATTTGGGCTGGCAGCAGCTGGGCACAACCATCTTCTTCCTCCCACAGTGTGTCACCAGCTTAGCAGCTGGGAGACCTGCTCAGGACCAGAGTCCAGGGTACAAAAGACAGAAGAAAGCACTGTTGTCCAACTTCTCTACCCCACGGACTCTTTAAGCTTTTTAAATTTCATTATTTGTCTCCTGCAGTTTGTATTTACTTAAACAAGAACGGCAGCACAGGCCCCCACTTAGATAAGAAGAAGGTCCAGCAGCTCCCTGACCATTTTGGGCCAGCCCGTGCCTCTGTGGTGTTGCAGCAGGCTGTCCAGGCTTGCATTGACTGTGCTTATCACCAGAAAACTGTCTTCAGCTTCCTCAAGCAGGGCCACGGTGGTGAGATTATCTCAGGTAAGCTCCCTTCGGTGAGACCTCAATTGGCTAATTTCTGACAAGGCATCCTGATTCCCACTTCACACCTGAAGGCTCTGGAGAAGTGTGAAGGTATCCCTTCCTCAGAGAATATTCACTTTCAACGCCCTGAGCACCACTGCCAAGTAGAATACCCACACAGACTCTTAGAGTCTTAACTGAGCCTCTAAACAGATGCCTCTGCTGTGGACCTGTGAGTGTGTTATTTTAAAGGTATCTCGGGAGTCAGAAGAATCAAAAGGGGGCTATAATATGGCAACAGGAGAGTTTCTCTAGACTGCCACAGCCTCCCACCTGGCGTGAGGGAACCATATATTCTTTTCTCATTGTTTTAAATCCTTAGCTTCGTAGTTCAAAGCCAGCCTTGATCCAAGGGAGTTGACTGCCAGGGCAGAGAGGAAGAGTCATTTCCTCTTCCTTTCCCGCTCTGAGATCTGAGTCAGCTGCACAGTGTTCTGTTGTTTTCACTGAGAATATTTACTTTTTCTGCTGTGCCCCTGTCCTCTTTCAGTTCTCATAAGTCCAAAAATGCTATTCTTTACCATCAAACCTATGAAGACTTGATCTAAAGCCTTTCAGTCTTAACTATGTGCTCCTCCATAATCTCCTGCCCCTTCCTTCTAACAAGTAGCAATATCCAACCTCAGGAAAGAGTTGACATGGAAAACCTCATGCATAATCCAACTGTATTCTTTCAGCAAACATTTATTGAGCCCTTACTGTATGTCAGAGGTTATTGCCAGACACTGGCCGGGGGAAGGGGAGAATGGAAGATGACAGGCTCAGACTCTGCCCTGGTGGAAAAGGAAGAATGTCTCACGGTGAGAGGTGTTATAGCAGAGAAGTATGTACAGGGTAGTGTCAGAGTCCAGACGAGAGTAATTGCCTGAGAAGGGGATGGGGCAAGCCAGGAAGGGATTGTTGCAGAGGCTGAGAACTGCATAGGAAATAGAGCTTTCCTTTCCTTCTGAGGCAGAGGCCATGCCCTAGTCTCTCCTTTGCTTTTGTGCAATGGTCTGCAGAGCCCTGGCTTCTTCACTGCCTCTGTCTCTCTCTGTCTCTCTCTGTCTCTCTCTCAACATATTTTTATTGATTTCAGTGATGAAGGGAGAGGGAAAGAAAGAAATATCAATGATGAGAGAGAATCATTGATAGCTGCCTCAATCACACCTCCCACTGGGGATCAAGCTTGTTCCAACCAGGAACCGACTGTGACCCACTAGTTCACAGATTCACTGCCTCTTTTTACGGCAATCACCTACACCTATAGGGTTCTTTCTCTGCCCCAAAATTGGTTTCTAAGAAAGATCTATCCCCACCACATCCCCATTTCCTGCTGCTCTCAGAGACAAATGCAGAGGCTTTTAGCTTTTTAAAGACTAGACAGATACTTTTTGAATAGAAATAGAGTAAAATAAAACGAAGCATGGCACAGTTCCAAATGGTGCTCTTATACAGATCGGATTGTGCGCCCAAACCAGTGCTGGCAATGGCTGTATTCTCTTCTGCCCAGTTCCTCTGTTCTTGGGCAGTTCTTATGGAAATAGCACCCTAAATGAACAGATTTCCTGGATGAGGCCCAGCCAACTGATGGAGCAGATAGAATTATGTTCACAGTTGTTTTCACAAGTTGAATAAAATCCTTCCAGAGCCCCAGGTGCAACAGACTTGGCCTGGCCACTCCCATAACTGCAAGCCCTTTGGAGTTGGAGGCAAAAATCAAACCCTCAAGGGAGGGTGGAGAGAGGGAGGGAGGAGACGTGGGCACTGATTGCCTTTGTGTAACCAGGTAAGCCTGAGACAAACTGTGGGCTGGCCTGCCCAGCGCTGCACTGAACTGCCCGCCTGACATGCTCAGCCCTGTTTACTTCACTTCACAGCCGTGTTTGATCGAGAACAGCACACCCTCAACCTCCCAGCAGTCAACAGCATCACCTACGTTCTCCGCTTCCTGGAGAAACTCTGCCACAACCTTCGCAGTGACAATCTGTTTGGCAACCAGCCTTTTACACAGACTCACTTGTCACTCACCAACACAGAGTACAGCCACAGCCACGACAGGTACCTACCAGGTAGGAGCTGGGATAGGGCCTGGGCTAAAAAAGGGGGCAGGGCTAGTAGCAGCTCTAGGGAGGGCCTGAGATCAGCCCTCTGACTTGCTAGCCTGGCTCCTATTATCCAGAAGCTGGTTTTTCTGTCCTTAACCTTTGCCCCATCTGGGACTTTTTGGTCTCCTCTCATCTTTACTCTCTCTTCGGGATTTTGTCCCCTCTCTGTAGAATGAACTTTCTTTCCTTTGGTTTTGTCCCTAAAAAAAGATGGTTCACGAATCCTCTTCTGAGCTCCAAACTGCATGTGGAGTCACAGTACGTCTCCCAGTGTGAGTCTGGCAGCAAGGGCCTACCATAGATCTCCCTTGCCAGCAGGAAGGTTTAGTCTCAAGCTACAGATTGAGAAATGTGCTCCCTGGTGATTGGCTATCTACTCTTTCCTTTGGCACGTAGCCCTAACTCCTCCTGCACTGCCAGTCTAGCAAGTCAATTCAAGTTCCTGCTGTTTCTAACTAGGCTGGAAAATAACTTTCTTAGTTAACATACCAGTCCCACAACGGGAAAGCGGATGCCACGTGGCCGGATCAGTGACTAAGCACTTCCGAGAGAGGTTAGAGTGAATGGAACGCAGCAGCTCTAATCTGGAGCCCAGGACACAGACGACAGGGAGGGAAGGAAAACTCGGCCCAAAACATAGCGAGGTAGGTCATTGTTGAGAGAGGGAGGATAGGCCTTTAAAGGAGCCTGTGGACTTTGTCCTGGCCTGAGGTGTGGAGAGGTGGTGCTGTCAGCTTCAGAGCTGTGCTGTCTGTTGATGGGGGAGCATGTAAGTCTAAAATGTGCCCCCTTCTGACCTTCTCTAACCAGTCTTGTTCTCATACTGCCTTCCCTAGTAATCTTTTTATTATTATATTACCAGAATCACTTCTGATGAAGTGCCATTTCTGAAGAATGTGCTCAGGAAAGTGACTACTCACCCAGCCCCTCCACAACCACCCCCTTAATGTTTGCATCCAAATGAGCTTTGCTTACATAACTTATAAAAATATACCTGACTTTCAAATACTGCTTGTGGGGACCAGGCCATCTGGTCTGCGCAGACATATGTGTGACCTGGTCATTGATCCTTTTTCTTACCTAACCCGCTCTAAATTATGTTCTTTCAGCATCAGAATCTCCGAGAACAGAAAAAGGCATTCATTCTCACCTAGAGTTAGAATGTTCCATTGGGAGTCTGGGTTGAGCATGGTGAAGTTGGTGCAGACAAAGGCAGACTATGAAATGTCCCCAGCCATAGGCAATCAGGAACTCTAAGTTGTGCCTCAGTTATGAAAGTAAAGCCTGCCTGGGATTCTGGAAGAGCAGATACATGAAAGGGTGTAGTATGTCCATGAGTGTAGCTGCTAGCCTAAAGACAGATTTCTCGAAGAAATAGCCACTCCGAATTCCTCAATGGAATTTGGTCATTAAGAACTAAGAGAAATGTCCTGGTAGCAGCATGCAGAGACTGGTAACAGTGCATATCATGGACCTGCAGTCCCCAAGGCCATTTAGTATTATGGGCATGACCTTTCCTGGGTATCCTATTCCAGTTTGCGTCTCTCTGCTGATTCAGATAGGAGGAAGCAAGCTTTAACCTCTTATCCTTACCTCTCACCAAAGAGACCAATGCTAGGGTTATCACATTCCACCACTGGCTGTCCCCCTTTCCTTCCCTCATTTTCAGACAGATTCAGTCAACTTTGCAACCTCTGGTTCTCATAGTGGCTTCCCAGCCACGTAGCTGCTCTCACCCTAGTTTTTATTTGCTTCCCTGAAATGAGCATTTTAACTCTGCTCAGGCAAGTCAGAGCACCATCTAGATTTTGACTCCTCTGTGCTCCTTCACTTATCTGAATTCTGCTTAAATACTCCTAATGCTATGTTGCTCACTGTCACCTTTGGCAATCAGTCTTACTGTTAGACCCTCTGATTGTGAAAATGCCTCTCTTTCTAGCTGAAATCTGTTTTCTTTTAATGCCTGCCCCCTGTTGCATTCTCTGCCTTCCCAGTCCTCTTCCCATCCCATGACTGCCGTTAGGGTTTTTGTCTCCTCTGACTGCTCTCCATATTCTACATTCCCAGGTTTTTCCTTCTTTGCTTCTCACCAGTATTCTGGTCACCCTCCACTGGGAACTCTGGTTTTTAAGGTCAGTCTTGCAATATGATACGCAGAGATCTGCCACTCACTAAAAATAAATGCATAAGGGCAAGATCCTTATCTGTCTGTTTACCTTTGCATAACCCCATACCTAGCATAGTGGCTTGCAAATAGAGGGCTTCACCAAATGTTGTTGAATGAATGAATGAGCTCCCTCTCATGCTGATTGTTCTCTTGTCACCAGCATATCAACCTTATGAGGTTCAGGGTTTTCATCTTCATTTTACAGATGGGTAAAAAGACAGTGATTATTGACTAGTGATTGTGCTAGAAATAGAGAAATCATGTCTTCCAGCCTTAATTCTGATTCCTGGGCCAGAGGTTTCAAAGTTTGCTTTGCTTTAGCAGTAGAACTTTTTTTTTTTTTTTTTTTTTTTTTTTACAAAGTTAAGATGACACAAAACTCTGGTGCATAAAAGTTAAAACTGGAGCTGTTTTGGTAGAAACTGGGATGAGATCCAGAGCCCTATTTCCTTGGCCTTTGTCTTAAAGCCCCCAGGCCTGAAAGCATTGCTGTCCCTGGCATTATCCTAGGGAGATCAGCCTTTAGTAGAACCTCCCAGAGCCTCAGGTATGATTTTTCCCACTGCATCTCATTAGGATAAGATCTTATGGCCTTGCCTAGCCCAGTACCACCAGTCCAGATTTTCAGGTCCCTCAATTCAGAATTCAGATTTCAGTTGCCATTCTTAGCATTGCTGAGAGGAAAAGACACTTACTGATTTGCATCAGCATCTGGTAAGCTACAAGCATTGTCATCATAATTATTTTTCACATCTGTTACCTCTTGTGAAACAGGAGGTATTAACTCTACTGAGTAAAATGAGGACTAGAAAGATGAGATTGTCCTGCTGATAAATGCAGAAATTTCACTTTATCTATTTCTTGAGCTATTGCAGAGAACATATGTAGGTTTGCCACTCTTAACTCTGACTAAGAATAACAACGACGTCAGCCTTTGTAAATTTCACCCCGTTCCATTTCCTCATTTGATGTTCTCAGCATGACAAATGGTGGTTTTTCCATTTTACAGATGAAGAAATTGGTGCTCAGACAACTTATTGAGGATGACACGCTTAATAAAAGGCAGGAGCTCAGACACAGTACTCAGGCCTTGCTTTCTGGATTGGGTTACTGTCCTTGTCTCAAGGCAGGACAATGCAGTATTCATCTCTCCTGAAAAATAGGAATCTGGAACCTCACCTGTAGAATGGGAGTGATATGGTTTAGGTATTCTGGGGCCTCAGAGACTTCTCTCTTCAGAATCATTTTTAGGGGAAGGCTTCATTAGTTAAATTCTCTGAGATAAGGGTGAAATCTATCTCATGTTAAATTTAACATTAAGTCCATGGTTACCAAGAAATTTTAGGTGAGTGTCAGAAAGCAGTTCTAAAATCCTAAACCATCTTGCCAGAGGTCTTATTGTATGCCAGACAATGAGCTTGAATTTATTAGAGGGCCTAAATGAATCACAAGCATTATCTAAACACCAGAATTCTGAGAAGAACCACAAAGGACAGTGATATGATCCAATTCCTGAGACACCCACCCATCCCCATCCTCCTGTCATAAGTAGAGAATGCTGTGGCCATGACTAAGGAGCTGTTTTGATGTCTGGAACCCAGTGATGAGGCAGAATCTGCTTCAGGTTCTGCAGTGGAGTGCTTAGGGGATGCCGCTGGTATTGGGCCATGGCCTGGGTATAAGAAATGTCAGGCTGAGATTTCCTTTACAACGGTTTTCATAGCTACTTCCTTTTGGTATTTACAAGCCCCTTGGGAGAAAGGGGCTTCCTATATTATTATATAACAAGGTCCGAGGGAAACACCTTGCTTACAGAGGGCAGAGTCAAATTCTAACTCAGATTCTGGTCCTGTGCCCACATTCTCACCGCTGTACATTCCAGCGTCCTTGGAATGTTTCTGTAGAACAAGGCAAATATGAAGGGGGTGGAGGGCATAGGAGCAGATTCTTTGCAGACAGCCCTTTGGCCAGGCATCAAGAAGCATTTCTGAGGTAAACGGCTGGCTGAGAGTAGGCTTCTGAAATGCCCTAAGCAAGTGTATCTCTTCTCCAGCACCCTATTCTTTGCTAGCAGCTTATGTATAAGGCAACCTCTTCCTATTTTTTTTAAGGTTCTCCTTATCTAGAAAAAGCAGAAGGTATCTAGACCAGAAGAAACCTCAAAGACCATCTAGTCTAAGAGGAAGTATCTCTGAGGAGATCCAAGTCTAGAGAGAGGTACTGGGCTTGACTCAGACCTCCTAGTGAGAGCCAGATTGGTGACTGGTACACAGGCCTCCTGAGACTCAGCCTAGGACTGCCTGTTTGGCTGCCTTTTGTTCCATCCAGACAGGTACCTGGGAGCCAGCACCGCGGCAGTCCTTCTGGATTATTTCCTGCTCTAACTCTTGTTTTACTGTTTTCCAGGTGAAACCTTTGTACTAGGAAATAGTCTGACCCGGTCCTTGGAGCCACACTCAGACTCAATGGACTCCACCTTGAAACCCACCAACCTTGTCAGCACTTCCCAAAATCTTCGAACCTCTGGGTACCGGCCTTTGCTTCCATCCTGTGGCCTCTCACTGAGTGCTGCCTCAGCTATGCGTAGACTGTGCGCCAGGGGTAAGTTTACCAGAGTTCTGGCCCTCCTGCCTTCCCTCATTCTTTCCTTTTTTCCTTCCTTTCTTCTTCCTGAGCTCTGGGAGGCTAGAAAGGACTTGGCTTTGTTTCACTCTGTCTGGTGGTTGGGCTAGGGTCTGGGCTTACCATTGTGCCTGGGGAGGCGACTGAAGTTCTGTGATTGACTTGAGAATAATGGTACTATTATTACCATTATTTATAGGGCCAAAGGGACAGGGAAGAATTCATTCATTTCTTCGATGCCACTTATTTGAAAACCGATTGGCATGGGGATGCAAAAATTGGTCACTTCTTGTCCTCAAGGAACTCACAGTATTGTGAAGAGATACTTAAATAGGCAATTGTAAAACAACATCTTTGCAACTGCACAAATCTTAGTGCAGTTGCAGAGATATTCTCTATTCATATAAAAACTGCAAGAAGGAACACCTAACGCAAGCTAGATGTCCAGGGGAAGCTTCCTTGAGGAAGTGATGCCCTTCCTGAGACTTGAAGGGTGACTGTATGAATGGCCCTGTCAGGAGTGGTAGGGGTGGGAGAGCTTTCCATGAGAGCACAGCATGAACAAGGGCAAAGGGAAAGAGCTAGCACAGTGTGCCAGGAACCACTGCTGTTTGGTGTTGCTGAGTCAAAGGAAAATACTGGAACTTTAAAGAGAAAAGCCTGGAAAGGTCAGGCTTATACCACAGAGGACCTTAAATGCCACATTAAAGAGTTTGGAGTTGATCTTAAAGGCAATGTGAAGTTATCGAAGGCTTTTAATTAGAGGTAAGACCTAAAAAAGTTTGTTTTCAGTAGATCATTAACTACTATGTTGAGAATGAATTAGAGGAGCGACAAGACTAGAGAGACCAGTTATAAGGTTATGAGCATGAGCCAGACCAGAAGTGATAAAGACCTAGATTAGGGCAATGGTAGAAGGTTTGTAGAAGAGAGATTAGATTTGAAACTATTCATCAGGTAAATTTAGTCAAATTTGAGGGTGGTGAGGAAGAAGGGACTGGGAATGTCTTCCAGGTTTTGAGATGAGGTGGCTGGATAAATGGTGGTGCCTAGAAGAGAACGAAGGGCAAGGAGCCCATGGATCATCTAGGTGATATTTAGAGGTGGTGGCTATTCAGATCTGGTTCTCAGGGAAGAGGACTGCGCTGTAGTTAAATATTTGGGAGTCATCAACAGATAGATGGTAGTTGAAGCTGTAGGGTGAATGGCATCCATTTCCCAGGAGTATGTATAGAATGAAAACCGTTAACTATGATGGAGTCTTGGGGACCAACAAAGTATAGGAGATAGGAACAGGGAGAAGATCCCACCTAGGAGACAAAGGAGTAGTCAAATGTGAGGAAAAACAGAAGACTTTAATATTGTAGCAGTCAGGGCAATAGGGAATGTTTTAAGAAGAGCACAGCAAAGGGTCAGTAAAATAAGGATGGAGAAATAACTACTGGATTTGTAGCTTCCATGTTGGTGAAGGTTAGTGAGGGCAGATGGCAGTGGTAGGAATATCAAGGAGAGTTTATTGAGAAAAAGAAAGATGATGACCATCCAAAGAAGGTCTTCTGGAGTGGAAGCACACTGAGCATGCTTATCAGTAGACAACTTGAGCCTTCTAAGGAGAAGAAATTAAGAATATGGGAAAGAGCCGAAACCGGTTTGGCTCAGCGGTAGAGGGTCGGTCTGCGGACTGAAAGGTCCCAGGTTCGATTCCAGTCAAGGGCATGTACCTTGGTTGCGAGCACATCCCCAGTAGGGGGTGTGCAAGAGGCAGCTGGTCGATGTTTCTCTCTCAACGACGTTTCTAGCTCTCTATCTCTCTCCCTTCCTCTCTGTAAAATTCAATAAAATATATTTTAAAAAAAGAATATGGGAAAGAGGAAAAAGTAAGGCCTAGAGAGTTATAGGAAGGATTAGGGATAAAGGGCACAGGCAGATAGCTCTTAAACCAGAAGGAGGCACACCTTGTTCTCTGACATTGGGGTGGCCATGAGTAAATGGAGAGGGCTGAGTCAGGAAGGTTTAAGAGTCTGAAAGATGGAACTGGTCCTAAAGAAGAACAGGGGGAAATGGGTGAAGGAGAAGGAAATTGTTTGTGGGAAACACCAAGGTCCAGCTGTGCTTGCAGACTACTTTGGAAGTTTACAAGAGCCATGGTTTTCTTCTATGGTTCTTAGAAACTAGATGTGGGGTAAGAAAAGAGTTTGAAATTAAGGTTTCATTTTTTGTCGCGCTAGTAGGAGGTTATGGAAGTAAGGAAGCATTTAAAGGAATCGAGGAGCTAGAGGGAGAGGAGTTTAGATCAACACTGGATCTGGACAGGGTGGGGAAGGAGCAAGGCTAAGAGAAGGCTGAAGGATGGGGAACTGTAAGATTGATGTGTTGATAATCTTTTATGTCAAAGTTATAATGGACATAAGTCACAAGGCAGTTGGGAAGATAGGGTGGAGGTCAGAAAATGGCATGTTTAAAATTCTGAAGTGATGTTTAAAATTGTTCCAGGTGATGACAAAAACCAGACAGTGAATTTGGCAATCTTTATTTGAAGTAGAGTAGATGTGAAAGTATTGGCATAGAGGCAAGGAAATTAAATAGATTGCTGTTTGCCTCTGAAAATTATGGCAGGAATTGGGGTGGAGTAGAAGGCAGCTAAATACCAAAAAGTCTTCATTTAACAAGGGGTAGAAACACTGAGATTTATAGACAACAGTATGGCCTCCGAAGAACATGAGCTTTCATAGGAGGATGGTCTAAAAGTAACGATGGGAATATAGGAGATCCACTTTCACACCCCACGGCTGGGCCTTTGGTGTTTCCCACAAAAAGCCTTATTTTTTCACAGCCCAGGAATGTATGGGCTATAAAAGAATAAGGAGACTCCATTTGCAAGGCCTACAATGGAAAGTGGTGACCTCAGGAGAGAGTTTTCGGGAAGGCTGACAGGAAGAAGCCTGGGATGCCCTTCCGCCCTTGAGGCAGCAAAGTAGAGCATGAAAAGCTCTGAAGTAGAGGTAGATTTGAGAGTTGATCCCCTACCTTGAGATTTGGGTAAGTCATCTGACCTCCCACATCTTCATGTTCCTCATATGCAAAATTAAGATAGTGACATCCACCTGGTCTTTCCACAGGAGTGTTAAAAGGATCTGATGGAAGCAGGGATATGGGATCGTTTTGGAAACTAACTCATTCCCCAGGTAGGAGGGCATTACTTTACTGTGATCTTCTCCAAGGCCTGTTTCCGATAGGAGTGCCTCATGTGGATCTGGCCTCAGGTGTCACTGTTGTCCCTAGGCATCTTTACTCTTCCTGTGGAATACATTGAGTCTGTTTGCCAGGTCACGGTCTATACCTTTTCTGATTCTGAAGAATCCAATAAGACTATGAAAGGATTCCATTCAGTTGACCCTAAAATTGTTTCTCTCATAGAATTTAATGGATGTCAAGTCTATCCCCTCTTATTTCATCATCCAGGATGATTGGGCATCTGTTTGTTAGTCTCGCCTCTGTGGAGGTGCCTCACCTGCCTTAGTCACTCTCAGATTGAGACCCTCTCCCTTCACCAGCTATACCCATTGGGTGGAGGGGGAGAACTTTGATATAGTTTGTCTGAAAAATTGGGAATAGGAAAAGATAGAGACAGGCCATAACTCATCTCCTTCCTGCCTGTGTGGTCTTGGGCAAGTCCCTTCCCTTCTCTAAGCCTCACTTCTCTCATCTCTAAACTGAAGATGATAATTCCTTCAGGAGCTATTTTTAGGGTTAAATGAGTGGACGGTAGCGGGAATTCTTTATAATGCTCATATATCAGACCTCTCTTCACCGCTCACCACTACCGCCTGGTGCATGCCGCAGTCATCTCTTATCTGGACTATCGTAGGAAACTCCTTTACAACTTGTCTCCTTCACTTGTCCTTGCCCCCTAACACCTATTATGAACACAGACTCCTGTGCTCAAACTCAATTCATGTCACTCAGAAAAGCCTCTGGTCTTACAGTGGCTTACAAGATCTTCTGTTACCTCACCACCACTTCCTTCCCAGCACACTCATACGCGCCTCTGAGATGTTACTCCTGCCACTTTTCCTCATTCACTCTGTTCTGGCACATTGCCTCCTGCTCAACTCTAAACATGCTCATCACTCTTTGCCTAAAGGTCTTTGCTCAAATGTCTTCATCTCTGAAGAGGGTACATTCTAATAGGAATAGACTAACAAACACATGATATATAATAGTATTATATATGTGAATATATATGTGTTTATAATATATACTAGAGGCCCAGTGCATGAAATTTGTGCATGGGGGTGTGTATCCCTCAGCCCAACCTGCAGCCTCTCCAATCTGGGACTCCTCAAAGGATGTCTGACTGCCCACTTAGGCCTGATCCAGTCACCCCCTAACCACTCCCCTGCCAGCCTGATTGATACCTAACTGCTCCCCTGCCAGCCTGTTTGCCCCTAACTGACCTCCCCTGCAGGCCTTGTCACCAATAACTGCCTTTCCCCTGCAGGCCTGATTGCCCACACTGCCCTCCCTTGCAGACCTGGTCCCTCTCAATTGCCCTCCCCTGCTGGGCAAATTGTGGTGGCCATCTTGTGTCCACATGGGGGCAGCCATCATGTGTGTTGGAATGATGGCAATTTGCATACTATTCTTTTATTAGATAGGATAGAGGCTTGTGCATGGCTGGGGCCAGCTGGTTTGCCCTGAAAGGTGTCCTGGATCAGGGTGGAGGTTCCCTTGGGGAATGGGGCAGCCTGGGTGAGGGGCCTGTGGTGGTTTGCAGGCTGGCCACGCCCCCAGGCAACCCAAGCAGAGGCCCTGGTATCTGGGATTTATCTTCCATAATTGAAACTTTGTAGCCTTGAGTGGAGCCAAGTCTCCTGCTTGCTCCATAGCTACAGCCATTTTTGTTGGGATTTATTTATCTTATATAATTGAAACTTTGTAGCCTTAAGTGGAGGCCAAGGCAGGCCAGGCAAGTGAAAAGCTTGGCTTCCTTTATTGCCAGGGAAACCCAAGCCTCCTGCTCTCTCTGTGGCCACAGCCATCTTGGTTGGGTTAATTTGCATACTCGCTCCTGATTGGCTGGTGGACATGGCAGAGGTATGGTCAATTTGCATATTATTCTTTTATTAGATAGGATATGTATATGTGAATAATACTCTGTGTGTGTGTGTGTGTGTATGTGTATGATTTCTAGCTTCCCTTGGGTAGAGGAATTAGCTAAGATGACCCAAAAAGGACACTCCGTTGTATATCTTTGTTCTGCTCTCCATAATCTCTGAGTTGGATTCTGTCTTAGCATCACAGGGGACTTTCAGGGCAGGGAGAAGTGGCTTGGTATAGAGAGTTCTTTCCAACTTCCTGTTACTACCACCTCTAAAAAGCCAACGGAATTTCTGTGGCTCTAATGCAGCACACTTCTCCCCTGGTCTGCACAGTGCCCAGCCTCAAGCTTCATCGCAGAGGCATGACTGGTTAAATCATTGGCCATTATGATTGAGCTCAATCTCCAGCCTCTCCCTTCCCCAGGAATTTGGAGGAAAGTCCAACTCTCTAGCCATCTAGTTTGTTCTTCTGGCAACCAACTCCCATCTTTAGGGTCTTTCCAATAATCACCTCATTGATATACTGTATTTTCCGGCGTATAAGACGACTTTTGAACGGGGAGGGGGGGGGGGGAGTCAACCGAAAATTGGGGGCAAAAGACCAAAATTGCACAAAAATTACCTGCAGATCTTGATGGCAAAGTAAGTCTTTTCTTTGAAGTGGGGGGTAGTCTTATACAGCGAATATAGGCCTAAACCTATGTTTTAACTGTAAAACTAGGGGGTCGTCTTATACGCCGGAAAATACGGTACTCATAATGAAAAGGGCTCGTTCTAAATAACCTTTCTTTATCTCACCACTTGGAAATTTAAAGGATTTTAAGAGTTCTGTGCCATAAACGATACCAAATATGTATGTTTCATATTAGAAATCACAATATCATAAAGACATAGCAGGGGGGGAAATAGAAGACCTAGATGCATAAAATTATTTTAGGTAGTCATATGTGCTGGAAAGGAAAAAACAAAAAGTGACTGTAAGTGTCCCCCACCCCCGGGTCCCATGTGGTTCAGGGTTCAGGTTCAGGTTCAGGTTCAGGTTTGGGTTCTGGAGGAGACAGCACACAAATGAAAGAGACTAGACTAGAAAATATAAATTTGGGAATTGGGGGCCGGGCGGGAGCCCAGCTCAAGAGAAAGGACTAGGCTTTGCTCTGGCCTTGCTATTCCTTTTATTCAGGTTTTGGGATACACCCATAGCCGTTAGGCAGGCAATTCCAATGATAGCCAATCAGCAAGGATTTACATAAAACTAAAAGGTGGCAGTTGCTTCAGCTACCAGTGTCTCTAAACAGTGGGTGCATAGCTCTGACCTTTCCGAGCTCAACGTCTTCAACCTTCCAGATTCCTTGTCAACACCTCTCTGCTAGTGAAGACTATGGGTAGCTTCCAACAAGTGACAATGGGGAATGAAGTACTTTTACTAGTAGATCAGGGAAAGCCACTCTGAGGAATTGGTATTTGAGATGAGGCCCAAATGTTGAGAAGGAATTGAGTATGCAAAGATCTGGAAAAAGAGCATGCCAGACAAAGGAAATTACAGGTCAAAGAATAACAGCATAGCCTGTTCAAGTAGCAGCAAGAAAACTGGCTTGTCTGGATTATTGTGAGGGAAAGGTGGCTGGGAGCCTGGGACGTGAGGTCAGAAGGAGGAAGGGCCAGGTGATGGGGCAACTGCAAGGCCAAGGAGTTGAGATGTCCTGTCAGGTGTGATGGGAGGCCAATGCATGGAGTTTTTAGGGACTGACACGATCCAGTTCCTTTTAAGGCTGCTTTGACTGCTTTCTCCATAATAGATTATTAGGTGATGTGATGGGAGAAGTGTGTAGAGGTTAAGCTGTAACCAGGGGTACATGAAATGCTTTGTGAGGCCAATTATTTCCATGGAAAAGTTTCATAGAGGAGCTGCTCCTTGACGTCATCTCTTGCTTGCTAAGTTGGGGTTTGCCAAAGAAAAGAAATTGAAGGGAGAGGAGAGACACATTCTAGATAGAGGGATGGGAGGAACCAGAGATCTGTGGCAGGTGATGATCAAAATAGAAATCCCAACTCCCACAGGAAAGTGACGATTGAGATATAAGCTCTAAGCAGAGCACTAAAGTAATGCTGAGGCTTCTGGAAGCCAAAGTAAGACTTTCTGTACATTAGCTAAAGTGAGGTCAGCTCTTCGAACAGGGTTTTATCCTCCACTTTTTTCTCCCTAGACCCCAAGAATTGCGCTCTGCTCTTGCCCAGTTCCCAAGGTCTCTCCAGTAATGGTCACCAGAACCACAGCAAAAGCAGTTTCACCCACCAGCCCCACACCGAACTAAGTAAGCCCATTACCTCATTTTACCCTGACTCTAGTCCAAGATGTCATAGCCTCAGTGTAAAATTCCTTTGATTTTCAAAATCAGATCTACCATTAAAGAACAAAGATTTAACTTACGAAGACCCTTTGTGGAAACCCTCCCTCCCTCCCTCCCTCTGCTGCCACTGGTTCCTCTACTGTTAGCTCACCCACAGGGCCTTTCAGGACGCACCGAGGAGAGTGGTGGGGATTTCAAACCAGTTCCCACCCATGATGCCAGCTGTCCCTCTGTCCTGCAGGATCGGACCGATACCTGGAAAGCCGGGATGCCTCTCGAATGAGTGCCCGGGACCCATCCTCATGGACAGTCGAGGATGTGATGCAGTTTGTTCGGGAAGCTGATCCTCAGCTTGGGCCCCACGCTGACCTTTTTCGTAAACACGTAGGTGCCCCTGCCTGATCTCTGTCGGGTTCACTGGGAGAATTGCTTCCGTAGCCTGTAGACTCCTAAGGGCACAGACTATATTGATACAGCTCAGGAGACCACACAGACTTAGGGACAAAATCTTGGGTCTCGGTCAATCCTCAATGGGCACTCACACTCCGCTTGTGTGAGATCTGATGCAGCCACATTCCTGCTGGCTATGCGCCCTGCAGCAGGGACAGGCCCTTCTCTTCCTAGGACGCTGCTCTCTCACCTTCCAGCCTTGGCCTGGGAATCAGGGGCCTCAGCCCACGTTAAAGAGTCCCTGCCAAGTGGCCCCGAGCTCTCACCCGCATCAGGCTCTCGTCTTCTCCTAGCCTCTCACACATCTCTTCCAGTGGCCAATGGCCCTGTGGCCAGGGACTACTCCTAATTCTTCTGATTTGAGGCACAAGACCATTTCCCCAGAGCCCCTGCTGCTTGGTGCAGTCCTCCCCTGTGGGCACTCAGAACAGAATTGCTCCCTTCATTGGTCATGTAAACTTCCATGCCAGGTGGGTTTGGAGGGCGTTCTTAGCTCAGAGCTGCCTGGTAGGTGCCTGCTCTGTGTCTAGCTCACACAGATGGTCCCTGCCACTTAGGAAGGAGGAGGACTCAGAATAACAGGGTCATATACAGCCGTGAAAAGTGACATGTACACTGACTGGGAGGCTTCCTAGAGGAGATGGAACTGAGCTGGACTCAGGTCTGGGAGGGTTCAGCGCAGAAAGGAAACAGGTGCAAACGTGAAGAGCTCAGCGGGTGGGCTCAGCAGTAGCTGTTTGCGAGGAGGGGTGTTGGAGACAAAAAGCGGGAGACCAGGGAGGCTTCAGCGTCACAGCAGGTCCACTGGACCCCATGTGGCTGTACTTCCCTGGGGTGGTCAGACCAGCCAGGCCTCTGATGGCACCTCTCCCACGCCACACAGGAGATCGACGGCAAGGCCCTGCTCCTGCTGCGCAGCGACGTGATGATGAAGTACATGGGGCTGAAGCTGGGGCCCGCGCTCAAGCTCTCCTACCACATTGACCGGCTGAAGCAGGGCAAGTTCTGAGCAGAGGACACGGCCGACAGCTCAGGGGTGGAGCAGACAGGGCAGCATTCTCCAGGCCAGCAGCCGGCTCCGGTGGTTGGTGGCACTTGGCGCACCTCAGGACTGCAGGAGGCTGTGCGGAGCCCCCACTGCTGCCCTCCATGTCCTTCCGTGAAGGGCTGAGGAGGGGAGTGTTGGGCTCAGGGCTGACGCTGCTCTTCCCCTCAGGCCTGCCTCTGTTCTGAGACCCCTCTATTTATTTCCCAGGTCCGGCCGGCCTCAGAAGTTTAGACTGACCACCTGCCATGTGATAGCAAGGGGTAGACCCCTGAGGCCTCAGAAGATGGGGCCCTGAACTGACACTCATGCCCAGTCCCTTACCACCTGCTGGGCCTGGTGTGGCACCCACTGCCCCACATCTCCTGCCTTCTACAAAATACCCAGATTCCAAACTCATGGTGCAAACCTCTACCTTTTTTTAAAAAAAGAATATCATTTTGTATTGTTATTTATTGTTTCTGGCACTTGGGCAAGCCCTTCAGTTCCTACTCCTCACTCCAAACATGGGGTTTCAGGAGGAGCAAGAATGCCCTGCCCGGGTCCCAGAGAGGTGTGGCCCCTTCACAGAGGACATTACCTCAGGGACTTTCTCTTTGGGACAGACAGACCCATAAAGCCTTGACCACGTCACTCAGTGTTGGGAGGAGAGGATCCCTGTCAGCTTCCCCTCTCTATCTTACTGGGCCCTTCTCCCAGCCTCACCCCTGGGGATGGGAGTCCCTGCCCACACTGACCAGCACAGCTCCTTGCCCTGGCCAGAACTGCTGCCACAGAAGGTCAGGCCAATGATTTTAGGCCGAGAAGCCCCTAGGGTGGTAGGAGGAAAGGGTCTCCAGACTGGAGTCTGGCGGCACCCACTCTGCTGTCCACACGCTTCCTTTGCAGGCCGGTCAGCACAGCTGCCCTGCTGCCATCTGGACTTATTTTATGTTGACTTGTTTATAAATAAAAAGCAATATAGATGCCAGTGTCTTTTTAATCAACAGCAAAATCACTGTTTTCCAGTGGGCAGGTCAGTCCTTCCTCATGGTCTTAGGAGCTTGGACAAGATGTTCTGAGTTCTTCTAATTCCAGCAAACGCTTAACGCACAGGAACTTAGCCAGGTGCCCCCTGAGGCCCAGCACTGCATGCAGCAAGACAGCGGTGCGAGCAGCAGCTCCAAGGAGCCTCTGTGGCTGGGCTCCTCCACATCCTCAGCAAGGAGAGTGCAGACTGACTGGGCCAGGGGCAGGTGCCCCAGGCCAGGGCCACACACCCATTTCTCACAGATGGCAGAGGTGGTGTAGGGGCAGCAGCATAGTTCAGTACAACCTGAGAGTGTCACTGTGGGCCCCACACTGCTCTGCATGAGTTAGAATGAGCTCATTTAATCCTCACAACAAACCCCTTTTGTAGATGAGGAAAGAGCAGCTCAGATCACAGCCAGGAAGTGTTAGACATTTGAAGCCAAGTAACCCGACTTCAGGGCCTCGGCTGAGGTTCCCGCCAGTCCAGCCCTTCGCTGTCGCACTCTGGGTCAGTCATTTCCTTTCTATGAGCCCATGTGCCAGAGGATGGGACGGAGAGGGGTGGGGGAGAGTGGGTAGGGAGACTTCTGAGGGCAAGGGCATACCTGCCAGCTCTTGGCAGTGACTGGTTCTGACATCCTGATGAACTTAGAATGCCCTTCCACGCGGCCACTGTGGGCTTCTAACCGCGGTCTCCACAAGCAGCAGAGGGTCAGTGCTGCCAAGCCAGAGTAGGCAGTTTTCCACAGACTCCTGGACATTGGGTCTGGTAGGCTGTGCTGCTCATCCCCGGTGCTCCCCATACCGGCCCTGGCCTATTGTTCAGGACTCTCCTTACCTCGGGCATAGAGAAGGGTCTGGTGTCAGGGAGCCCTGGACCCAACTGTGCACTCTGACCCACCCAGGAGGTAGCTAAGCCCAGTTGGATCCTGGGGTTGATGACTGAAGGGAGTCTTGGGGGGCACAGGGGGCCTGCATGGCACTAGCCCTAGAGAAACATTCCAGAGAAAGAGAGGACACCTTCAGCCCCGCGGTTCTGGGAGCTGTCCCAAGGGAACCCTGGGGCCAAACTGGTGTACGTTTGAGAAAGGGTAGGGGCGGAGGTGGGGGAAGCATCCTACTGAGGGATTTCCCACCTTTGCTGCCCAGTGCCTGAGGCTGACCAAAAAGGCATTATTGGCTCTCATGAGCTCACAGAGGTGTAGTTGCACAGGCCCCGCCCACTTCCTGCAGCCTTGGTTCTTGCTGCCACCCCACACCAAGCTCCCAAGTGCCCTAGGGAGCCGCTGGCCAGGGATCAGGGAGCTGTGGGAGCTCAGGCCACTACCTCTCAGGAAGAGCAAGGACATGAGGGTCATAGGCCTCCCTTGTCCTTCTATTCCTGTTGGTCCTGAATGCCCCCACCCCAGCTTTGGTGGCCCCCAGGCCCTGACAACTTCAAGGATCCAATCTGAAAAGATGCAGGCTGCTGGTACCTGCCACACCGACCAGAAGCTGGGTGTGGGTGGGTAAGTGGAGGGCTGGTGTGGAGGGCACAGCTCAGGATCAAGGTCTCTGGCCTGGCGGGAGGCTGGAGGGGGCGGGCTCTGCCCCTCCTCACTGACGCTCTCTGAACCAAAGGAGGACTCAGTCTAAACTATTAGGTATAGTAATAATTAATGTCGTTTTCTAATACTTTTTTAAATCAAATTTATTTAAACAATACAACAAAATTTAATCAACAATATAGTTGCCGTTGTTTTCTACTACTTGTGCCCAACGCTCAGGAAGCATTTTAATCCCTCTGTTGTAAAATTCTTGTGATTTTGATGCAAAAAATTCGGTCAATGCATTTTTGAGGCATTCTTCATTATTAAATTTTTTTCCAAGAAGAAAGTTTTGCAAAGAACAAAACAAATGGTAATCGGAAGGGGCAATATCAGGAAAATATGCAGGTTGAGGGAGAACTTCCCATTCCAACTGGCGCAGTTTTTCAGCAGTGATTCTTGCAGTATGCGGTCGTGCGTTATCGTGGTGAAGAATTACGCCCTTCCGATTAATCAGCGCGGGTTCTTTTTCTCTTAAAGCTTGGGCTAACCTTTCCAATTGGGCACTATACACTGCACTTGTAATGGTTTGGTTAGATGGTAAAAGTTCATAATGAAGAATTCCTTTAAAATTCCACCAAACACACAACATCACTTTTTTCGCATGCAAGTCAGGTTTTGGCATGGGCTGCGGAGCCTCATTTTTGTCCAACCATTGAGGCCGCCTTTTCAAATTAACATACAACACCCATTTTTCATCTCCGGTAACAATTTGCTCTAAAAACGGCAAACGGTTTTGACGAGAGAGGAGCGAACTGCAAATTGTGACTCTTTGATTACGGTTGTTGTCGGTCAACTCATGAGGAACCCATTTTCCAAACTTTTGGACTTTGCCAAGTGCACGCAATTGATTGGAAATGGTTTTTTGGGGACAATTTAAAGTTGTCGCAAGCTCTCGTTGGGTAATTTGAGGATTTTGCACCAAAAGAGCTTGAAGAGCTTCTTGATCAAAATTGGACACACGGCCTCGACCACTCTTGTCATCTAACGAAAAATTTCCCTCGCGAAATTTCTCAAACCAACGCTGGCATTTTCGGCGCTAACTGCATCTTGACCAAGAGCACTACAGATGTTTTTTGCAGCCTCACTTGCTTTTCTTCCTAATTGGAACTCGTAAAGCATGCAGTGCCGAATATGCTCTTCATCCGCCATCTTCTTAGCCCTAGTTTTGCAACAAAAACCAAACCAAACACAAACTTTTTCAAGCAAAACTTGTTAATTGCACTTCACACATTCTGTAGATACCACGTGTTTGAAGGTTATGTCAATACAAGTCAACGCCAAGCAAGATTTTAAACGAATGTTTAAAAACGACATTAATTAGTACTAGACCCGATAGTTCTTAGGAAGGGTCCACGAGGCTCCGCAAGTGATATCTGCAAAGCCCGTTCTTCTGGGGAGAGGCCATGGCTTTCATCAGCGTGCCCAACGCATAAAACCTGCTCTGCAGCCCTCTGACCGAGCCCTGCCCGTTTCAGAACTGTTCTGGACGCACACCAGGTTCAGACCAGGCAAGCAGAAATAGCAGTGGGGCCACAGTCAGGCCTCGGAGTTCTAGTCCCCTCTGTCCCTCTTTGGGCATATCTCCTGTCTTCTCTCTGGACTGGAGGGGCAGGCGCTCATGCTCTGTTCTCCGACTCAGCCCTGTCTGACTCCTCTTTCCTGTCCCAGGCCCGGGGTGGCTGGCAGGCCCCTTCCTGCTAGCCCTCTGCCCTCCCTCTCATTCTGGCCCTTCCCAGCCCCTGCCCATCTGTGAACCTCTCAGGAGCTTTGGCCCCCCTGTGGTCCCCTGGGAAGAGCAGCCTGCAGTAAGGAATCCCGGAAGCCCTTCTGAGGGAGACCCCTCCAGGGGCCCCCAGGAAGAGATCAGCACAAACAGGTGCAGGAGCCCCTCATGGAGCCCCCAGCCACGCAGTCCCTACAGGAGCTCCTCACTGAAGAGTCCCCGCCTGAGGACTCGGGCCTGGAGGGGGCTCCCAGCAGCACGCATATCCTCTACGTGGGCCACCTGAACCCCCAGTTCTCAGTGCCTGTGCTCACCTGCCTGCTCCGAGACACCCTGGAGCGGCTGGAGCTGCCGGTGGCGCGGGAGCGCATCGAAGTGGTGAGGCGGCCGCGGAAGGCCTACGCCCTGGTGCAGGTGGCCACCTCTGAGGACATCCTGGCCTCCCTCCGCGGCCGCCTGCAGGCAGCCTTGGAGGAGCACCAGATCATCAAGGAGCTGGCGGCCCGCGGGAAGGAGCTGGTCTTGGGGGACGGCCGTGAGCCCACACACCACAGAGAGGTAAGTGAGACATTCTCGGAGCCACCAGCCTGCAAGCCCCGAGCCTCACCCAGGGGTCCGGGTATGCACTGCCTGCACTGCCA